TTTAGAACGCCTGGAAATTCAGGCTCCTTTCAAGCCACGACCTGTGAGATGTTTTCTATTTCTCCTCGGAAATCTGTAGATTTTTTAAACATAAATATTTTACTATAAATCTTTTTTATTTATATATGATATTTGCTTTCACATTCAGTGGGTGATTGGAAAGAAATCTATCTTGAAACAGTTTAATATCTTTATAATGCTCTTAGCTCTGCACTTTGATCCATCAGTTAACATAGTACTTTATATGTTGTAATAAGAAAACAATATTGTAGTTAATATAACCCTTTAATTGTCTGCTTGCACTGCATGCCTAAGATGCCTGTTCCCGATTGCCAGGTTTGAGAGAGGAGGAATGTCCAATAATAAAACCGAAAAAGCAGGAGCTGTACTCCAGTACACAAATTAACACACAGTAACAAATATATATATAATTTAGATTAGTTAATCAATTCAAAAATAGGTATGGTTGTATTCATCAAAATTTTATCATCACCTTATAGCATTTAAGAGGAATTTTGCGAGAGAGGTAACATTGAACCGACAAGTGATAACATGCACCAATGTGAAATAATAATACATTGGTTACACATTTAAAAAAATAAATAAATAAGGAATGTTACATAGAAAAATATTTACCAATATAATATACTAGTATCAGACCTACAAAATTGTATCAGATAAGATTTACTTTGACTAAGTAAATCTGTAAATGGTATATAAAACAATGATATATATTTAATTGGTTATATACTATGTGTGCAGGCTGCTGTACTCTCTAGCAAGTAATTAACAGATCAAAAGACAAGACATTCTAAATTAAACACAATTATGAAAGTTATACATTTTGAAGTGTGGCTAGGACTGCATATACAATGTGATTTAATGGCAAGTGACACTGCAGGTCTACATATCAATACCACGTCATTGTTTTGGTACTTATCATATCCCTAGTAGAGACCACATTGTCTTTCTGTTGCATAGCATGTAGATCCAAAATATTACTAGTTATAGGGGCCTAAGGGGATTCTATTCAATAACTGGTACATTTGAGAAAGGCTAAATATTGCTAAATCTGTGACAATCTTAAACATTGTGATATGTTGTTATACCAAATTTTCATTAACTTTTGTTTGGTAAACCTGTTTCAAGACCTGTTTTATTCCAATTAGACCCCAACAGAGTTGCTGGTTAGTTTCCAGAACACAACAAGCTTTGATATAACATTTGTATAGAACTCTACATGACTTCATGTTTGCAAGATACCTATTAAGCCTAATTTTCTGGTTGGATTAATTCAAAATAGCAGCGATTAAGATATGTGGTTATCTTGAAAAACCACAAAGTCCATTACAAGCACACCTTTTTATGTTCTGTTATTATAAGATAAAACATTGTTTAACATAATTTAATATTTCATCAGAATGTTTATTTTTAATTAAATTATTATTGTAAAAGATAACACAAAAACATATTTCTCAACCAAAACAATTTATTTTGTTTTTTAACAGTGTGGAAAGAGTGGTGAAAATTTCGACAAGTTCTTCACCCGAGCTCCTCCCGTTCTTACACCGCCTGACCAAATGGTCTTAGCTGGAATTGACCAGAGTGAATTTGCTGGATTCACCTTCATTAATCCAGAGTTTATCCACACTAACCCACACAGTCCAGTGCCCATCTCCCTGGTGTGACCTCTCCATATGTGGTGGGAAACAAATATGAAAGTGGTTTTCTCCAGTCCCCCATCCTTTGGCCAGCATGGTATTCTCCTCAGTAATGGCTTTTTTTTGGCAAATCCTGCCCAATTCTCCCCATTTTCCCCTACCTGCATCTTGGAAAAACATTCAGTGTTGTAATGTGCTGTGTGAGGGGACCAGGATGCAAAAGTGAATCCATTCCTTCCGGGATCTGACACTGATCTGGCATTTCACTAATAACAGACTTTGTGAAAAGCTGATGAAGTTTTACATTTTTGTGGTTTCCCTTTGGGTTGTTCAGTGTCTTAGGATATTGCGATGAAGAATTGAACCTTTGCTGTATTACCTGCAATGGGATCGAGATACACCTCAGATGGAATACTTATGTAGGAATCAGAGAGCTTGATGAAGAGCTGAATTTATTTTAGATGTCTTGGACTGGAATATGAGCTGCAAACCTTGAAGTCATGTAGGAGTGTGGTATCTCGCTGCACGGTCACACTTGAAATAAACCACAGACTGACTTTCAGTTAGATAGACAATATGTTATATCCCCATTTAGTTTTCCCAGTTATCACCCGGAATGGACAAAACACTGACTGCATCTTCCCCAAAAATTGCATCTAGCCTTGGCATGCATGACCTTTTAAAATCTTTGTAGGTGTACAATATATTTAGATGTTATCCTGTTCAAGTAACTCCAGATGTCACCTGGATGAAAGATCATATCTCAGTGATAAATGTTTAGTTATTCTGATCATCTGCTTATGTGCATGGGCTGGAAGATCATATACCATGTAAACATATTCGCTAGTTTGATCATTTTATCTAGGCCTTTCCGGACTTGATTCAGGAAAAGAGTGCATTGGAACGGAAAACAGAAAATCGGCCAGGGCTTCCATGGATGTATTTCTAAACATGGCGTCCCTTCCATGTATGCACATTAGGAATGCTAAACATTTAAATCAGAATGTAGTCTTTAGTACCAGGATGTGATATATTTATTAATTGAGGGTACTGTTTAAAAAATCCTGATATGCCATCTTGGAGGTATCCTGGAACTTGACTCTTCCTCAAACAAGTCTATCCTGGTTTTGTGTTACATAATAAAGGCACCTCATACATTTGTGTAGCGAAAAGAAACAGCTGATACTTGATTAGTAAACCAACTGATTAGTATAACAGTGGAGGATGCAAGAGAAATTATGCAGCTTTTCGCATAGGATATGGCTTGCACACATCTGCACAGCTGTAAATGTCACCATGTTATTTGCCAGTAAATGTTAGAATTTTTTAATTTGAAGGACTAATCACCCACACTTTAACAAGTTATTCCTTGTTATCTAGCATTTTCATGATGCAAGAGCCTCTGGTACGTGTTGTCCTTATTGGTTATATAATGTCATTAAGAGCTCTAGAGTGACCAATAAGGAGGTCCCAAGCTTAGTAATAATTCATCAAGATCTAGCATTGTGTGCATTAAGGTAATTTGTATAAGATAGAAGGACAGCTAATATGGTGAAAGTGAAAATGCAAGAACAAGTTAGTAATAATGTAAGATCATTTTAATTAGGCACACTTATAACAGAAGCAAAGTGGAGTGTTGTCAAAATAAAAGACCATAATATACAAGTCAGTTTATTATAGTACTTGTTAGTTGGCACATGAATACAGCAAATTACATTGAAATGATAAGGTTACTGTTCCTTTTCTGAGCTGTCTTCAACACAAGGCTGGTTTGTGACTCAATACTGTTTAACCCATTACTGAAACCCTGACAGTAATAAGGCTAAAAGCTGCTTTCTATAATTAGAAATGTGAACAAATAAGGTGCATGCTTTACATTGTTATTATTTAGAATATAATGTTATTTATATTATTTCTATATTATATATGCTATTCATAAAGATGTATGTTAATATGGGTCAACTGAAAGCATTTATTACTAAAGGAACAGTTAATATGGCCTTCCCTCTAACCATTAGTTTGAGTCATTCGGTACTGAAGTAGTTAAACCCTTCACTAGGAACAAAGATTATGCACAGTTATTTTTTTCCAATGTGTTGCACTGCAAAACAAACTTGTACCATAAATCTTACTTATGTTCTACACCTTTCTACTGATGGTACTAAATTGGCTGTTCAGTCTCTCTGCCTAGGTTGGGGTGTCTACAAATGCTGTTAAACATTTTCTCCTCCATCACTGCATGAATCATAAACTGCATCCAAAGGCGAAGCAGGAGCTTGAGATGGCCATGATCACACATTAGGACGTTACGTTTTTTTTTCTCTCTCTATTTTAAAAACTTAAACAGTTTTAGCCAGGCAGCTTTATTTATGTGTTTATTTATTAATGTGATTATTTGTCGTTTTGCTTATATAGACTCATAATCTTTAAAAAAAAAAAAATAATAATAGCGCTACGGAATCTTATGGCGCTATATAAATCATAAAATAATAATAATAAGAATGATGCTTCAGCAAAAACACACCAAGGTCAAAATGGACATAATGTATAGGGATCTCTAAATGTAACCAAAATTAACCAGTTGCTACCTTAATTAACTCTGCAAAAATTCAAGAACCAAATCACAAAAACATTAAGAAAGAAAGGATACGTAGTTGTTAATGTCTATACCAAACTACAAAAGTTTCCCTTGTATAAATATACACTAAATACCTGATTGTCTCAGATATAATATTTATATAAGGGACAGTTTTCTAGTTTGGTAGATTTAATAATGCAAATATGATATCCTATTCTACAGGAGCTGAGTAAGGCCATTACAAGAGATTTGTGTAAGTTACATTTAGTATGTGATTCATAAAGTAATTGACATTATTGTGATATTACATTTTAATCTATGATTTTTTACATGAGTGATTTGGTAATGTAATATGTGATACAAGACACATGTCTACATTTTGTCTTAACAGTCCCTTTACAGTACCCTTCAATTGAAATATACTTTTTGTCAAACATAAGGTATGCGACAAAAAAGTTTTTATTTTGCTAATTTATCAGAGCATAGAGGAAGCAATTCCACTGCATAATACAAATATTTTATACTCCCAATATTTATGCAAAAAACAAACTAATTAGTAATTTAAAATTCTGCAATTTTTGATAATTTAAGTGTCCTTGAGCTACAAATTCTAAATCAAATTACTGTTTATTTTGCCATTATAATCTGTGTATTGTTTATGTCTATTCATTTAAGTTAACATTTTTTTATTAGAATGTTACAATTTTTTTTATTTTTTAATAAAATATTTTTTTAATAATTCAATAGTAAAAGGAGTTGAGAAAATAAAAAAACTACAATTTATATTGAAAGAAAAGTTATACAGTAGTAACATCAATGTATACTTGTAGATTTTTTTTAATATACTTCTTTTTTATTTCTGGACCACTCAAAAAATATTATCAGACTTCAAGGCAACACTCCAAGCACCATAAACAATACGGTCCACTGTAGTGATTATGGTACCAGTTGTTCCCTGGTGCTGTCCTTTGGTAATATGTCAAACTACATCTGGGCATTTTTCTTTGAACAAAGCAATGTCATGCAGGAATGTGCTCAGGGTCTGAGAGTATCATCTGAGCTCTAAATTTGTGATTTTGATTTCACCCACATGGCAATTTATCCGAATTACGCAACTCAGAATCGCCATATGGCTAAATCATGAATGAAATGGGTAATTGTTTGTTTTGTGATCTGGAGTTCTATCTGTGGCGCCAAGAAAAAGGGGAGGGAATGGAAAAGAGGCCATTTTTTTAGTACACTAATAGGTGCATTTACGCACCAATTCAGTTCATCCAAATAATTTTTCTTGAAACGATTACTTTGAAAAAATGCCCAAACCAAAATGAAGCATGGCCAAAATTATTTATTACTAAACCAATTTTTTTTTTTTTTACTGAAAAAATTGATCGGGCAAACCACATTTTTCTGCCATTCTCAAGTCTACCGAGCTCTCTCAGGCACCTAAAACAGTCCTGCATTAGTGGTTATTTCCTCTACAGAAACCTCTGGTTTCTCTTGCTGGATGAGACTGGATTTGACATGAGCATGTGAAGGGACCCAAGTAAGTTGTCAGAATGTGCCAAAATCATGAGATTGTACCAGGGAATTTCTGACTACAGGCTGTAGTGGGTGTGATGCCCTGAGTAATCCTTTAATTAAAAGTTGTTCAAAGACTGAAGATATGTAGGTAACGCTTAGTCTTTGGAAAATATTTACAGTCAGCAGTCTTTGAGTTTCCTGTAGACTGTAAAGTTATAGTGCAGTTACTAAATCTTAAACAAGGAAAGAGAAATATAATGCAGACATAAGATAGGATTCAGTACTAAGAAACACGAGCAAGGACACAAAAAATATATAATCTATTTAAAACACAGAGCTAAGAGCTATGCTGCGGAGAAGATTCATGCAAATATATCTGAGTAAAATAATATTTAGGATAGTATCTTCCATGTCTTATTGTCAGGAAAGGGATTATTTGGCCTACTGTATTATGGAAGGGCATGAGCTTTGCTTAGCTTATATTTATATAATATATATATTGCACAGATCTCTAATATGAATCATCTTTAATTATTTTGATGATCATTATGATTCATCAAATCATTTTAATAGAAATCTGTGCATGCTTAATTGACCATGTAGAAGATAATGCCTTTAAATGTGTTGTACCAGCGATATTAGAAATGAAGAGTATTCTTGCACATTTATTTTATTTATTAGCTGGTTTTAAACTACCTATCTTATCATTACCATTAAGCAGCAATGGTTTGCATTCTACAGTATATAAATTTCTTAGCTACAGATTAACACATTTTAACATTTATTTATTTATAAAATATTTTACCAGGAAAGATCCATTGAGATTTCTCTCATTTTCAAGTATGTCCTGGGCACACATGACTTTCACTCAATAATATTACACATATTTATTTATTTTTTCGAGACAAAAACAATAGTGCACTACTTAAACTATTGGAAGTTACTGATATTCCAGTTGTTCTGTTTCATGTCCTATACCCTCAGTGACTTGTTAGTTGAATAAAATTATAAATGTGTACAGTCATAATACTGGCTCCAATAACATATTAGTGTGAGGTAAGCACAATTATTGAACAAGACAAACAGTGGAAATCTCCAGTTAAGCTGTGGTAAAGGAGAGTAACCACAGTTTCCTCTGGAGAACAAACAAAAGCATTTTAGCAAAAGCTAAGTTTAGGGGTGAACCCTGAAACTATAAAATCCTTCTCCACCCTATTTAAGTTACATAACTTGCAAAGGGACACTCCAGACACGAGCAGACACTCAATTTAGAGAATTGCATAAAAAACAGTACTCAATATTCCCTCTATGCTTTACTGCAGCCTGCCATTTCATTTTCCTTGCCCCCATTTTTATTCCCAATGCCTCTCCTACGATAAATAACCTCTAACCATCTCCCCCTCAAATAAGACTATATCCATAGATCCGTTGTCATTTCTGACCCCTTCTTTCATCCTCTGCCCTTTAGTTAATATACATTTTATCTGTTATTATCCTGTCTCTCACTAAGTGATATTTCCTCTTTTTCTATCTGTTCCCCAGATTTTTTAAGCAAGAATAAAAATATGTTTTATTCCTTCAGTTAATTCCAGAGTAACTGTTAGGTGACTGGAGGAAATGAATGTTGACCTTCCATGGTCAATTTTTGTGTGTAAATATTTATACTTGTATTTAGGATTTGCAGGTCATTTGTCAACTCCCTGTAACACACTTTTTAGTTCATGGATATCAAAGCATGATAACTTTGGTTTACAGATTGCAAGTCTGAAGTCAACTCACCATGATACACAGTTTAGTGAATAGACATCTTGTCTATTCTGCTTTGAGGATAATCAGTGTATTGAATACCATTTATTAGAATTGGAGGATATATGAACGAAGCTGCAGTTCTTTTATAATATAGTCCAATTGTCTATTGTATTTTAACTCTCTCAAATTCACTTGCTATAATAAACTATGTTTTCTCAGTATTAAGACAATATTGCACTATTCATCTTTTTAATATTTCTCAGTATTTTTCTCATCTCAGTTTGTAAGCATTCATATTTTTTTGCGTATATGTCTGTCCACGCTATTGCACTATTTTTTTTTGATCATTTGTTCATATTACTAATGTTATTCTATTACAGCAATTGATTTTTACCATCTAATTTAAATTTGTTTTACAATTTTTAATTTTTAACCCTTTAGTCTTACCAGTTGTCTAAAATAAAACAAATATTTTTTCAGTTGGACGTCCTATTCCAGGAATGGTCAAATTATGGATCTCCAGGTCATAATCTTAACTAGTCAGGTGGCCATATAATGTTATATAGCAAAATGATGGATATAATCTAACCCTTGAGGATCTTCTGAGTTCTGGGCATTGTTCTTCCATTTGATTTTCCAAGGTTGTGTACACTGCAAACCTTACAATCGGAGAGTTAATAGTCAATGCTATTGATTGTGTTGTCAAAATATAGCTTTAGGTTTGTAAATTCCTCTGGAGAAGTGTAATACCTTTGCACTTTTCTAAAAACCTTTCTTATTGTTTACATCATTGTATAGTAAAAGGAAAATGTCAGGATAGTTTGGAGGTGACAGAAAACCCTGTTTTTGGCAAAACGAGTATGCCTGTTTTTTCATACTATAGAAAGCAATAAAGTAATTAAAAATGCATTGTTTCATTGTTCTTTTATCTAATGTTTCATTGTATTACAGTAGATTGTGTTCAACTGCACCATAGCTGTCGTAGCTATCTAAACAGCGGGCTTCACCGTTCCATACTGAACACTAGTTGGACAGCATAGAAAAAGTACTTTGAAGCACAATGTAAAATTCATAGAATAGAAAAAGCAATGGGGAATATTTATTAAATGGACTTAGAAACACATGAATGGAAATTGGACACATCTACATCAAAAATCACATCCCTGCCCTAGACATTAGTAGGGCTGGCATATCTCCACACCTCTTGCCAATGTTTTCTAGCCAGCCAGTTACTACTTTTTAAAATGCCTGCACCTATGTTTAGCAAGTAGTGGTTATTTAGCAAGAAGACATAGGAAATGCCATGTTGTTCTTCGCAAAACACATATTAAAACACTATAATGTATGAGTCCAATGGTTCACACATAAATCAGTGGTACATATGTACAGAGCTCAACACAAGTTCAAATAATGATAGCCTCTAGTGGTGGGATAAACATAGTCTGCATCAGCCAGAGAGTGCACTCAGATCAGTGGACTACCAGGATTTAATTAATTATTTATTTGTTTATTTATTACTGGCATTTATAAAGTGGCAGGAAAAGGCAGGAATTTTAAATAACTATTTCTCCTCCATATATATTAAGGAAGAACCCATGGCAATAGATGTGCAAATGATTGCTGCTAAAAATTTGCAGAATAATTGTGATTGGTTAACTCAAGACAAGGTGCTCCAGCAACTAAACAAAGTTCATATAAACAAAGCTCCAGGGCCTGACGGTATTCTTCCACAATTATTTAAGGAACTAAGTGTAGAAATAAGTGAACCTCTGTTTTTAATCTTTCAAGATTCTTTTCTTTCAGGAAGTGTTCCGGAGGATTGGAGGAAGGCCGATGTGGTTACTATATTAAAAAAAGGGTTCAAAATCCTTGCCTGGAAATTATAGACCTGTATGCTTAACTTCTGTGGCTGGTAAAATATTTGAAAGGTTATTAAGGGATAATATTCAAGAATTCCTTGAGAAGAACATGGTTATCAGCAAAAATCAGCATGGTTCAGCATGAAGCACAGGTCATGCCAAACGAACTTGATTGCATTCTACGAAGAAGTAAGTAGAAGTATAGATCGGGATGTTGCAGTGGATGTGATCTATTTGGATTTTGCCAAGGCATTTGATACAGTTCCACACAATAGATTAGTGTGCAAACTCAAGGAAATCGGTCTAGATGAAAATGCTTGTTCTTGGGTAGAACATTGGCTTAAAAATAGAGTACAAAGTTGTCATTAATGGTAAATTGTCAATCTGGACAGAGGTGGCAAGTGGTATCCCTTCGGGTTCTGTCCTGGTACACCTTCTATTTAACATCTTTATAAATGATCTTGAAAAAAGCATTGAAAGTCATGTTTCAGTATTTGCAGATGACACAAAACTCTGTAAAATAATACAATGCGAGCAAGATATTACTTTGCTGCAGAGGGATTTAGATAGACTGGGGGACAGGACACTCAAATGGCAGATTACATTTAATGTTGAAAAATGCAAAGTTATGCACTTCGGCGTAAAGAATGCACAAGCAACGTATACCTATAATGGAAGCGAATTAGGGATAACAACACACGAAAAGGACTTGGGGATTGTTATAAACAACAAACTATGCAACAATGTGCAATGTCAATCAGCAGTGGCTAAGGCCAGTAAGGTATTGTCATGCATGAAAAAGGGCATTCATTCTCAGGATGAGAATATCATTTTGCCTCTTTATAAATCACTGGTAAGACCACATATTGAATATGCTGTTCAATTTTGGGCACCTGTTCTAAAGAAGGATATTATGACACTAGAAAAAGTGCAGAGGCGGGCTACAAAATTAATAAAAGGAAGGGAGTATATCAGTATGAAGAAAGGTTAACAAATTTAAACCTCTTTAGTTTAGAAAAACATCTCCTGAGAGGAGATATGATAATATTATACAAATACATTCAGGGCCAATACAAACCATTGTGTGTAAATATATTCACAAACCGGACTTTACATAGGACACGAGGCCATGCGTTTAGACTGGAAGAAAGAAGATTTTGTCTAAGGCAAAGGAAAGGTTGTTTTTTTACTGTAAGAACAATAAGGATGTGGAATTATCTGCCTTAAGAAGTGGTTTTATCAAAGTCCTTACAGATGTTCAAACAGCAACTGGATCCATACTTGCAAAAACAGAATATTCAAGGATATAATTTTTCAATATAGGGTAATAGCTGCTTGATCCCAGCATAAATTTGACCCATTCTGGGGTCAAGAAGGGATTATTTTCCTAGTTTGTTGCAAGATTGGAAGTGCTTTAAACTGGGTTTTTTTGCCTTCTTTTGGATCACCAGCAAAATACAAATGTGAGGAAGGCTGAACTTGATGGACGCAAGTCTCTTTTTAGCTATGTAACTATGTAACATATTCAACAGTGCTGTACAAGTGAAAAAACAAAATAAACAGACCGGTAAAAGAAGGTAGAAGGCCCTGCCCATGAGCTTACAATCTAACGGTGAAATAGGGAGATGAGACAAAAGATAGCAGAGGAATTTGTAGGTGATGGCAGAGAGAATTTATAGTGTGACTTCAGTGATTGATACATATGAAGGAATGAGGAGGTGATTGACTGTGGTTCCAAACAGCTGGAGGAGCATGCTATATAGTTAGAAGGAACCAGGGCGGGAGGGAGGAGCAACGCCAGGGTGAGTAGAGCTGAGTAGAAATTAAGTTTCTTAGTTGCAAGGGTGGAAGTTAAATTGGGCCATTAGGAAGAGAGGTGCACAGTTATTTAAAGGAATTTACAGCTAGGAGTGGCAAACATGGGTTGGGGTGGGGACAGGGAGGAGGAGTGGATGCACCCACTCCTTTGGCCAAAGTAAACAAAATATATATTTTTAAATGATTCATATAATTTATTTTATTAATGTTTTGGAGCGCCAGTCCCTGCCACACACTACACCTCGTGCACACTTACAACAGCCCTGTACAAACATAAGCACACTACATATACACACATACAAAGTAGCTCCTATATACATGTGCATGCAAACTGAAGCCCCTGTACACACACATGCACACTATAGCCCCTAAATGCACACTACAGTCCCTAGAAACACACACTCTTTAGTGCCTATATACACACTATACACCCTATAGACAAATACATACACTACACACGCTAGACACACACCCATCTCTTTACACCCTCTAAACATACACACACATAAACAAACACACACTTTACAGCCTGTCAACACACACATGCACAAACGCACAGTTTACAGCTTGTGGACACACATACACATTACTGTCACTGGCCAAACAGCTGCCTCTACACAATTCCACAAATAGTTTTCAGACACATTCAACACCACAGAAAGCCTATCTCAACCCATTGAGAGACATAGTATGCTCCTGTGTATATTTATGCATATGTGTTATAATAATTTTAGTATATATTAGTTACATAGTTATCTATAGTTAGGTTCGGAAATATTTGCACACTGAGACACTTTTCATAATTTTGGAAATGTACGCCATCACAATGGATTTTATATAAAACAACTTCAATTTAAATGCAATTGAACTGCAGACTTTCAGCTTTAATTCAAGGTGTTGTACAAAAATACCATATGAAACATTAAGGAATTGCAGCCGTTTTCATGCACCGTCACCTTATTTCAGGGGCTCAAATGTGATTGGATAAATTAACACAATCATACTTTGTACAGAGGAGAATATTGTTTTAGAACAATCCACGTTTTTAAAAGAGCAATTTTATAAATTTTATCAAAAAGGATACGATAAAGAGCAAGGAGAAAAACAGTTCAAAGAGGTTCAAGAGAAACAAAGAAAATACTGACATATAAGAAAAAAAGATGATCAAGGAGAACAAATTCCTTTTATTTGTGATTTTAACTCTCAAAGCTATATTTAAAAAAAAAATACTTAATAGACACTGGCATATTTTAAAGCAAGAGGAAGAATGTCAGGAGATAGACCTAAGATTATCTGTAGAGGAGCTAATAATCTTAGAAGCTATATCCCAAGAGTTGAAAGAAAGGACAAAGATAGTTTTGAGAATGATCTTAGAGGTTTCTTTAATTGTGGAAGTTGTAAAGCTTGTAAATCAACTAGAATTAAAAAAAAAAAAAACAGATACATTCACCACGAACATTACACAAAAAGAATACAAGGTGAAAGATTTTGTTACGTGTAACTCCCATAATTCCTGTAATGTAGTTTATTAAATGTAGTGTAATTCCTGTAATGTAGTCTTTAAACATGTGGGTGCGGACTACAATATATAGGGAGAACTACAAGACACCTAAAGTTATGAATTGGAGAGCATATACAAAAAAAGAAATTTAGAAACATACAAAATAGAGTCTTAAAGGACCACTCTAGGCACCCAGACCACTTCAGCTTAATGAAGTGGTCTGGGTGCCTGGTCCAGCTAGGGTTAACCCATTTTTTTTATAAACATAGCAGTTTCAGAGAAACTGCTATGTTTATAAATGGGTTAATCCAGCCCTCAAAGCCTCTAGTGGCTGTCTCATTGACAGCCGCTAGAGGTGCTTGCGTGATTCTCACTATAAAAATCACAGTGAGAGCACGCAAGCGTCCATAGGAAAGCATTGATAATGCTTTCCTATGCGACCGGCTGAATGTGCGCGCAGATCTTGCCGCGCGTGCGCATTAAGCCGACGGGGAGGAGAGGAGGAGGATGAGAGCTCCCCGCCCAGCGCTGGAAAAAAGTAAGTTTTACCCCTTTTCCCCTTTCCAGAGCCGGCGGGAGGGGGACCCTGAGGGTGGGGGCACCCTCAGGGCACTATAGTGCTAGGAAAACGAGTATGTTTTCCTGGCACTATAGTGGTCCTTTAAGCCACTCCGTCCCCACACATTTTAATGAAGTACATGATGGGAATCCAACAGATTAGGAGACATTGGAGGGGGGGTGACCATTTGAAGATTCTGTATAAAATAGAAATGAAGTGGATCTTCGATATGGAAACCTTCTCTCCAAATGGTCTAAACATACATAGTTACATAGCTGAAAAGAGACTTGCGTCCATCAAGTTCAGATTTTGATATTTATAATTATATGTGATTTTTTTGATTTTTTTTTACTATTATTATGAATTAATAATTTCCAGACAATATTTTTAGTGGTTAATAGGTACATTACACTGAAGTTTTAACCAGATCTTCTTATACGTAAAATATCTTAAGGGTAGTGCTTTTTCACCATTGTTTTTACAATATTTTATAGGTACATTTATAAATACCAAGCATCTATATGTATCTTCTAATTTTTTTCTTTTTTGCTTTCTCTTATATTATGATCTATGGACATCTGCCCTTAATTAATATGAGGTTTGGAGTTATAAATGCTCATGTTGAACTGCAATGAGAACATATGTTACGCCCCTTGTGACGGGCAGGACAAATTACGTAATTACTCAATTTCGACAGAGAGACGTCACAGGAAGTGATGCGACGGATAATCTTGGAAGATGCCGATCAAAGAGAACACGTCACAGGAAGTGACGCGACAGACGTGGAAACCTCGATACGGAAGAGGGGACAGTCCATACTCATGTTACCGGCTACACCATGTTGGGAGGGACCGATATGTGTCCAAAATTGGATACATCGCCATATTGGGGATGGCATATGTTGCATCCCGTTCTGACCATATTTAGGTATGGGAGGGTCTTTGTTTATTTGCTTCCATGTGTGTGGCATGTTTTTTAATTGTGTACAAATGTATATAAAGGAATGTATTCTAGACAGCCACATATCTTCATCTGATAGACAAAAATGGGTATATAGGTCGCGCTGAAGGGACAGAGAGGTGATATGAATTGAATGATAATAAAAAGTCCCAAGTAGTAGATAAACCTGTATTTTTCTTGGGTGGATATAAAGTCCAAATGAATGTCTGAAGCTTCTTATGTTGGAGGTGTCTTGATTCGCTTGTCGATATGTGGGTACATAAAAGAGATAAGAAGAACTCCAATAGTGTAGGATGTCGACAAATTTTCAGATATAAATCTGTGAGTAGGTAAAAAAAACTCACCTTAGCATGAGCAAAAAAACTTGCTCAAGTGTTCTTAGCGTTCAATGGCGTCAATCCCCCACTGGTCGGATATGGGTGATGAAGTCCTGAGTAATTCCTCGATATGTGGAGAGATGGGAGACGTATATAGTGCTCACTGAGTTATTTAAAAAAACAAATAAAATGGTAAAATACTCACATGTATATGAGCAGGAACGACTGCTCAATATAGTGGCACATGTGGTACAATCCCCACCTTGGATTCTTGGAAAGTAGCGTACTTCAATCCAAATCGGTGACCAGGTAATTCAAATTAAAAAAAGAATTAAAAGTATATATAGGCAAAAATAAAAGCCAATATTTCTTTATTAAAATATAATATATCAGTATATAAAACAAACTAATAACAGCAACCACACAGGGCTTTATCAAATGGCATTAACCCCTTCAGGACGGGTGACGGACGAGGTCCGTCACACAGGGGAGACCCTTAACGACGGGTGACGGACCTCGTCCGTCACGCGGTAAAATTAACCCCGGATCGCCGCTATCGCGGCGATCGCGGCGATCGCGGGGTTAATGGGTTAAATTATTTTTAAATTATATATTTAGATAGCTGGGG